TTAATTTGAGCACATCTTGAATGTGAAAGCAAATGGTTTTTGCATAGCCTTCTAGAAGGAGCATAGGGTTTGATATTTCAATTTCAACCCTAAAGATTTGTGGTAATTGTGCACTTAACCTATGTGACAATATTTTATTAGCCCCACATGCTCTTATAAATGGAGGTAAGTTTTCAAATTTGATTTTTGTTGGAATTTTGACAAATTACTTCAAGGGTTTAAGTTGGTTTTAAGTTCAATTAAATGAAAAGAGCATGGGTATTTTGAAACTAGGGAAATTGGATTGAATTATAGTTATTAAAATAGATGCATAATTGTGTTTAAATCCATACCACACATCTTGATGGTATGATGGTGGATGGTGAGCTAGGATCAAGCCTCTCTTTATAGCCATAGGATGATGACATGGAGGGCCTCGATTTATCTATCTAAATGCATCTATACATTTGGTGGTTAGAAGCCTATTAAATACCCCTTAAGCATTCATTCTCACACATTGTATGCGTTCTATCTCTCTCTCTCTCTAAATTGGCACGCCACTCTTTCTCTCTTTAGTCCCCTTTGAGTGGCATGCCTAGGCTATCTCCTCGCTCTTTCTCTCTCTTCCAAATTGAGTATTAAATTGATGCGAGAGAAAGATCCACTGAAGCTCCATTGATGGTGATCTCGAGGTCAAACCAAAGCCATGGATGATCTAGTTTACAAGGCCTTCATCAATTGAGTAAGATCTAATCAATTTCCTTTAATTTTAGTCTGTTCTTCTAGCAGTAAATTCTCAGTTACAGCAAGGTTCCTTCATCATTTTGATTCTTGATCATTGATTTCCTTGATCTACTTTGATCCATATAGTTGAATGCATCATTCATGCACAAATTAATCTAGTTTTCATGAGCTTCTTCTTGTGATTTCTTGAAGTATTTTGACTGATATTTCTCTGCATTTTTCACAACCAAATTAGTCAATTTGATCATGATTTTGATGGATCAAATTGTTGTTTTCATAAGAGAAAATTATGTCAAATTATAGGGCTTGATTTGTGACCTCATTGAACTAGTTATGTGATCATGTACAATGTTTTCTCTCACAGTTTTTCCACTTGGTTTTGATTATTTGATCTCTGCAAATCCTTTCATGTTTCAAGTGTATATCAGTAGATGCTTAGCTTCCCACTTTTAGTATGATGAATTTGGCCTAATTTTGAGTTATGCCATCGCCTGTCACTCTATGACACATAGCAAAGATGCAAAGCTGTAAACCGGGCACCCTAGAACTCCAATCGGCTTCCCATGGGCAATGTTGCATTATTCACTTGAGCATATGTATGTTGTAATGTTGGAGATCATGTTTTCTTGAGTTTTGTGAAGTTAATTGATGTATAATTTGCATTGTAAATTGGAATGGTGCAGAATTTTCAAAAGCACCTCATGCTTGTCTAGTTTGAAGATTGCCATATATAGTTTGTTTTGTTGATGGACAAGGGACCCTAATTGAGTTGTATCACATGGTTGTGTTGCTGTAATTTGAAGTTATAAGCTCAATTTGTGGTGCATTGTATTTGAGTTGTATTGTGTTGTATTCTTGACATGGTTCAAGTCCAAGTCTATGTAATTTGGTTTTTACACTCACATATCGAACCAAGCTCTTGGAACTTGCTTCAGTCCATATATTGCTTTCCTTGGTCGATATACATGGTGAGGGAATTTGTTGCTGACAAAACCAGGATGTTGTGCCATATAGATTTCCTCCATAATGTTCGTGGAGATGCACTTTTGACATTCATTTGGTTGAGCTCCGATACAGTAATGATCCCCAGAGTAATAATAGCCCTTGTAATCACAACTTTGACAATAGGACTGGAAATTTCTTTGTAGTCTAATCCATGCTCTCTGCTCTTCTTTGCTGAGAAGATTCCACGGTCAACTATTTTCTCTTTACTCTCTGCTATTTTTCTGTTGCTGCTCTCCTTGATTGCTTTTTGAATGCTCGTGTATGGTCTATATATAAGCATTGAGTAGTTCTGTTACTTCATAGTCGTGTCTGGTAGTCACAGCGAAAGAAGGGACGTGTTCCACATGTCAAATTTGTAGCGAAACACATAGTCCTGCACAATTGTCATGTCCTTGAGTGGGCTCTAGAGTGTTTGTCCTTTCTTGACCGTGTGCAATGCCATACCCTATCTCAGTACAACATTCTAGAAATATGCTATGTTTCTGTCGGGAGTGACTTGGAGGAAGGGGCTTATATTTCTGTTTTGCCCCCCTCTGGCAAGTATAAAATTGTTTCATCCGAAAGGTGTTTGCATTGCTCTGATCCTCACGATTTCAGAAAGTAGACAAATGGGTACATCTGTCAATAATAGACTTTGAGAGAAAGGCGGACACCGTAGGTCTTATGCACTGAAGCGCATTAATATTCTGAAGAGTGTACGGACATTTGTGAGAATGTGTGGGAGCACGGTGTAGGATATTTTAGATTCTCTGAGAACTTAAGATAGGTGAGTCAAAGTTAATGATGTAGACTAGGGGGTCTTTTTAAGATGTTATCCCTTGGATTTTCTGTTTGCCATAGTATTGAACTTTCATTTATGTGGGTCCAATGCTTAGTCTAAATCTAGCACTTGTGCTTGACCAAAAAGAATGAGATTTCTCAAAAGTATAGAATTTATAATGGAAGTTCAGAATATGTCAAAAGAATATACCCAAACACCACCAAGCACTGTTTTCTTAAAATATAACACTTTAACTTTTAAAAGTTCTTTGGTTTTATTTGTATTGTTATGAAAATGAGTCACAGAGCACCCATAGATGTGAGGTTAATCACATCTACTACATTTTAAAAAATAAAATAAATCAGAATGTCTCTGATTGATCAATTGCACTGTCTTATAAAAGATTATATTGAAGAAAAATGAACAAAATGGGCTTATAGTTGCTCTTTATACCGTGCTTTGTGCTTTGCTCATTTTTCTTCTCCACAATATTTTGGAAATTATCAATTTTGGTCTCTCTTTCCAATTTACAACGACATCTCTCAGTGCGCACTACTCTCTCAGCTTTGCAACACTATATTGCCCTTTGTTATAGCAATGGATAGACATAGAGGAGTTCAATTGGTAGAGGGTTGAAGAGTTGACTGCTACTAAGTGTTTCGCTTCTACTTTGCACTCTGATACCATGACAAGGTTTGTGGAAGAAATGCAAATAAAAAATGATTTTTCAATTTTTATATTTTCTAGGACTTAGAAAATATGTTATTTGGATTTTAATGTTATTTAGAGTTATTCTTGTCTTTTTTAATCGTAGAGAATTTAGGCGTAGAATTGAAAGTTCAATTTTTTTTTTTTGAAAAGATGGATATGGATAGGGATTATCATGGTTGGGTTGGTTAGGATATGTTAGACTTGTCTTTAAGAGATAAAGGAGAGATAGAGTTTAGTTTATTATTTTTATTTATTGTTTCTTATAAGTTTGTATTTAAAAGGAAGATATCCCTTCTTTGTAGAGGAAGGTCATTGGAGAATAAAGAAAGAGTTTGATCTTGTGAAAAAATCTTGGGGTGGACTCCATTACAGACCTAGAGAGAAGGTATAATCTCTCAAAATTTATTTTTATTTTTCTGATTTACAATTTTTTTCTGTATCAATTGGTATCAAAGCAAAGAAGATCCAACTATTATAATGCCATCGAGAACTAATCCTGCTATGGATAATCGCATGGGTCAAATTTTAGAAAATCTAACCAAAGTCATGGAAGATGTTCGAAGTGAAGTTCGTGAAATGAATTAACGGTTGCAACAGTTAGAGAACACTATTCTTGGAGTAGATGGTGCTTGCAACAAAATAGATTTGGCGCCAAGTTTTACCTTTGAGACAAAACTACCTCCTCAATCGATTCCAAATGCGGATCCTAAATATAACGAGCATATCGTGATGCAAGAACCATGATCTGAGGAACATCCACATGATCTTGGTATTCAGCTTGATCTTAGTTTTATGAAGAACTTGAAAAAGAAATCAAGATTAAGCTTGAGATCCTAGAGTTCTACTTCAGGTTGCGTGCAAAGTATTTGATAAATTAGTTTATAATAGACAAAGTACCGAGAAGAATGTCGGGACTGCATCATCAACTTTTGAGAAGGCCTCTAAAAGATTTAAGTTCAATAAGCTCGAGGTTGAATTTCTCTCAACTCTCGGAGAATGATGCAAATAAAAAAAATGATTTATTATTATTATTTTTAATATTTTCTAGGACTTAAAAAATCTGTTATTTGGATTTTTTAGTTTTTCTTAGGATTATTTTTGTCTTTTTTAGTTATAGAGATTTAAGGGGTAGAATTGAAAGTTTATTTTTTAAAAGATGGATATGGATAGAGATTAGCTGATTGGGTTGGTTAGGATATGTTAGAATTGTCTTTAAAGATAAGGAAGAGAAAGAGGCTATTTAGGTATTTTATTTTATTTTTATTTATTATTTCTTATAAGTTTGTATTTAAATGGAAGAGGTCTCTTCTTTGTAAGGGGAGGTTATTAGAGAATAAAGTTTGAGTTTGATCTTGTAAAAAGATGGGTGGACTCCCTTGCAAACCCAAAGAGAGAGTATATTATGTCAAAATTTTATTTTTATTTTTATTTTTCTGATTTACTTTTTTTTCTGCATCAAGAAGAATGAGAAACTTTTGTATGTTTCTGTTTCATCACTCCGAGGATGTATAAAGGAGCTCCATCATGGATATTGTACAATAATACCCCTAAACAAATAATACTATTCTAAACAAAAGTGTGCATAAGTCAAATGTTAAGTATATCCTAACATGGTGTGCAGTCATATATCTTTTTTATTTTGGAATGTGTGCAGTCACATATCTTTGATGTGCTGTTTGATATGGAATAAATGCTTTTCCATTTCAAGAATTTCACTTGCTTAAATATAGGACTATTCTTTTGTAGATAAGTTGAAGCTCAGTTATTGCATATCTAACTTGCAAATCAGTTTGTTTTGTAGTTTGAATGCTCAGGAGGTATCAATCAAATGGAGGTAGGACCTATCATTCTTTTCCTATTGACCATTCTAATAACCACATTTGCCTTCTGTGCTCATTGATGAAGATTACATTTCCCATTACTATTTGTTATTATAAGCATAACAATACAATAATTATCAGTTGTTTGCTCGGTAACAAATTACATTTTTGAATATTACAGGAACAAATGTTCATAATGAAACCAGGAGAGACAATTACCCGTACATTTCAGCTTTCCTCAAATACTAATAAAGCTTCGAAGTATCACTGCATTGGTGAGATGTTTTATTTGGAATGAATCGTAACCAATTTATATGGGGCCTTATTCTGTTTTATAATTGGCATAGCAGCTGCACTTGAAGATGTTCCAATTATGAACCTGCCTCTTATTTTATCAATGCAAATTTCCCTCTTTCAAGTTTTAAATCTATTGTCTCTACACTTGTAGATAACAGTTTAAAGTGCTTTATGGCTGCTGTTTCAGTTTTTCTTAGTCGTTCTGTTTTACTTTGTGATTTATGTGCTCATCCATATGATAAATGGAATGCTGGTCCACCTTTTCGCCTCAAAATGATCTGTTTGAGAAGATAATAAAACATAATATTAAAATCAATTACCAATTCATCTCAGAAGATTTAAAACTTCAAATGATTAATGTCAAACTGGATATTAGTTACGTATTATTTTATTTCTCCGAGGGTGGCATGATACATGGCCCCTGTAAATCTCTTTTGGCACACCAACTAGAATCTAGTGCGGCAACTGTGGGAATGTTGTCTTAAGTAGCATTACATGACTTCATAAATTCAAAGGCATCTGTAGTTCCTTCAATAATATTTATTGTATCCCCAAAAAGGACTTTAATAGATTTAATTATGTCATATCTCTTCATTCACATGTGCAGCTATTTTAAAGGATTCTGATTTTAAGGAAGTTCACAGGGCAGAGTGCCAGTTCATTACCACAGCAACCATGTATAATCGGGAAAACCAGGTTTGTTCCTGCACATGTTATTAGGTTTCGTACTCTTCTTAAATATATGGTAAATGTGTAACTATGTATTTCTAGATGACCAGAAACACTGGAAAGTTTTCTTACTATAATGTTTTGTGCTGGAAGTGGGTTTTCAAAAGGCCTTGTCTTGACAATTTAAAGGGAAATTTGATGATTCCAAACTCAATAAGTCAAAGCATTTAAAAATGCCCCATTTTCCCTTCTTTAAATTTTAAAGAGAAAAAATTGCAAGTGAATGATTCAAATGTATACACTTTTTGTTGAACCACCTGTGGCTACCAGCAGTTATTGCCTGAGCACATATCTACACCCATGTGCATGATGACAAACTGTATAAATGAGCGGTACACAGCGTAGAGATTGATGAAGATCAGTCTAGTGCGTCTTTTCACATATAGTAGGTCTATAGTACAATATTAGAGAAGGTGAGGTGATGTATTACAATTTATACTCTGTCTTGCTATGCAAGTTATGTTGCCTATTTTGCGATGCAAGTTACTTCATGTTGTGTGTGTGTGTGTGTGTGTGCGCGCCTGTGTATGTGTGTGTTGAAAACAGTGAACAGATGTACAAGTTTTCCTTTTTGCCTTTTCGAGTGTTTTACATGGTATCAGAGCCATGGTTTTGAGAGATCAAGCTTTTTTATCTGAACTACAGTATCTTTCCTCGTCAAAACCACCACAAAAACAAGGTGGTTTTTGGAAACTTTTTAAGGATCTCTTGTTGTCTAATTTTTGGTTGATCTCTTATCAAGTTGCAGACCTGACCTCTTGAGGATTGATTTCCTGTGATCCATAAGCATTTTTCAGTTGATAATTCCCAAGTCTGAGTTTCACATGGATTGTGTATGACTTCTGAAAAACTATCACGACTGGTGTTTTCATTTTCAGTCTTTTGTTGAAGGAAAAGGTTTGTGGTGATATATTAATGGAATTGAACCACAACTTGCTCCATCCAGCCCCAAAAAATTCAACAATGGAAGGTAGACAATGCAATATGTCTCATGGATCCTAAGTTCTGTGGATATGAACATTAGAAAGCTAATGAGAGGGTTTCACATGGTGAAAGAAACATGGAAATATCTAGAAAACCTTTATCAACAATCAAATCTTGCGAGGCGATTCCAAATCAAGTATAATATATATTTACCTAATGGACAGGGGGAAGGAGTATCTAGGAATATTATGCTTGTTTTATGAGCATGTGGATAGAATATGAATTTGTAAGTATGAAGGCTATCACTAATACTTGATGCTTAGGATCTTAAAGGTGATAAATGATGAAAGGAAGGTGATGCAGTTTTTGATGAAATTATGTCCATAATATGAGGTTATTTCGAGCCAACATCTTAAATCGCGAAACACTAACCAACATGGATGCGATTCTTGTTGAGTTACTTCATGTGAGACAAGAATTATAGCACACGCTACCATTGAAGGAAAGAAGGCTATAGAGTTTGTCTTTGTGGCCCAACGGACTAGAGGAAAGCCATCATAAAAGGTCCAATCTTTACTGCATCTTATGAATGTAAGGAATATGGCCATATAGCATCTCATTTTAAGAAGAAGAACTTTTATGTTTATTGCAACATCCTTGACATATTATTACAAAGTGTGGCGACTATCCTCAGTGAGGCAAATGCTCACCAGATTGGGGGAAACCCATTTACAAGGCATTGATGCTAATGCTACATTTGAGGATTGATGGTACATACGAGATTAGAGATTGCTTCATCAAACACTGTTCTTACCTCAAGTACTACATGTTCCCAGACAATCGCTATATCAGATGATGTTTGGCATTTGTAAAGACTTTGTCTATAGCTATCTTTTATGCATTCTCTACCATGAGCATGTCTGGTAAGAGCTTTCACCTATTCCCTACTTTGAATCCTCCTTGGTTTGTTGACTCGGGTGACTCTAATCATATAATTGGAGTGCACACAAGTTCGTTATCTACTAGACCATCCCTAGGTAATAGTCAGATTCTCGTTGCTCATGAGGAGAAAATGCATATTATTGCTACTGATAATCTCTCACTCTGTGTATCCTCTAGTGCAAATTAACAGCTAATCTGATCTTTGTGGGCCGAATTGCCATTATCACAATTCACTTTTCTTGTAATGGTTGTGTGATATAGGACCTACTTGGGATAGTGAGAGGGAAGCAACATGGTGGCCGTTTGTTTGCCTTGGAGTTTGAGAAGCCAAGCCGTGATGCTTGTTTTTTTTGCTCCTTCTTATTATGATTTTATTGTTTCTAATAAATATTGGCATATGTGAATATAGTTTACGTGCCACAAATCTGAAGTGTTCTCCCATGTCATAGCATTTTTATCCATGGTTGTGACCCAATTTGGTACAAAAATAACAATTCCGGTCAAACTCTTGGGGGGAACCCTAAGTAAATGGGAGAGAAATAAAGAGAGAGAAAGTGGGGCATACCTTCCTCTAGAGCTTAGAGAGAGAGGCCAATCCAATCAAGGTGTGTAGAGAATAGATTCATAGAGAGTAGTTATAGAATAGAGACTAGGGTTTTGTGGTTTAAGGTTTGTCATCATTATGAGACTCAATCTTAAACTTTGATCATGGAGATCTGCGGGTAAAGAAATCTCAATCATTCATTCCTTAGATCAACCATCATGATTAAAAGGAATGACGTGGAACCAAAATCATTGTATCTTGGAAGTGGCTAGACCCTCATGCTTGACTCCCATATTCCTCATGCTTTTTGGACCGAAGCTACATCAACTACTGTTTATCTCATAAATCATCTTCCATCCTGAATTTTGCATAAAGAATCTCCATATCATTCATTACTTCATGTTCATTGTGATTCTGACATGTTTTCAACTGTGTTTGTTTTGTTTATCTTCCTGCACACAAAGAAGAAATTTTGTGCTCAAGCAACTACTTGTGTCTTTGTGGGCTACTGTCCAGACCAAAAGGGATTTCTCTATCATGATCCAGCAACTCATCTTATCCATGTGCCTCACAATGTTGTCTTTTTAGAAAGCCTATGTTATTATTCTTCGATAGCTATGTCTATAGGCTCCTTCGCTCCTTTCTTACTAGATTTCTCGGATTCCCTTGCATCTCCACCTGATTTTCAAATTCACTTAATGTGTCTTGCAGTTCCACTCATAATCGCCACAACTTTTGGTGTATCAACGATGGGGCAAACAAAACCAATCCTTGTCTCGTTTAGCTCCCTAACCAGAGCAAGGCAAGAATTTTCCTTGCTTGTAAGTGATTCTCTTCCCTCTTCCATCTCTCCCAACCCTGCTTCTTCTGATAGTTCTACCCAATTACGACTTTCCAAACATATAACTCATCCTTCAAACTGATTTGGTTTTTCTTCTGATGATTTTGAATTTTCACTACACTCTTGATCTTTGTGTACTTCTATTGATACCATTGATATTCCTTTCAACCACCTAGATCTTTGTTTACATCTTAGATTATGGCTTGCCCCCCTTGATTCAGTTGATATTACTTCCAATTATCAACAAGCCTCTACCATACCATATTGAAAGGAGGCCATGGATGCTGAGATAAGTGCCTTGTTGGAGAATGATACGTGGGATCTTGTGCCTTGCATTGCCGACACTTTTATCATTGGAAGTTAATGGGTTTTCTTTATGAAGATTTGATCTGATGGAGAGATTGAGCAATATAAAGCACAACTAGTTACTCAAGGCTACAAGCAGGAGTATGGCATAGACATTGAAAGACATTTGCTCTGGTGGCTAAATGACCACAATGCTTACAATAATTGCCATCTAAGCTATTCGCTAATGGACTATCTCTCAAATGGTTGTGAAGAATGGTTTCGTCATGGACATTTAAAAGAAATAGTGTATAGGCGACCTCCTCCTATGTGTATGATCATGACAAGCCTATGGTTTGTCATTTGAAGAAATCCTTATATGGCATAAAACAAGCTCCAAGAGCATAGATTTGACAATTATGACATGTCATTTTGGGTGTTGGATGTATATAAAGCTCTCACAACTATCTGCCATTTATCCAACATTTTGCCTCAGCGATAATAATTCTTCTCCTATATGTTGATAATATCCTTATCACAGGTGACAAACATACCAATAAACAATGATTGAAAGTGGTAGTTGCACAAAAGTTTGACTTACTTTCTTGGCCTAGCGATTCTTTACCTTCCTAATGGATATATGGTTCATAAAAACCAATATACTAAATATTTGATCAAATTGGCCAACCTAGACGATGATAAATGGGTTGATACACCAATGGAGGCGAACATAAAAATTTAGAAAGGATGATGGGGGCAAACTTCCAGATCCCACTCTTTACAAACAATTTGTTGGCAAGCTACTTTACCTCACCGTGACTCGTCCTGCTATATCACATGTAGGGTAGTAGCCGATTTGTTGTAGATGCTCCTCATATCCACCTCTGAGTTGTGCATCGTATCATTTGGTATCTATGAGGTACATGCCACAAAAGACTGTTTTTCTATTCTAATTCTTCTCTCAAGTTGCAAGCCTATACCGATGCTGACTGAGTATGATGCCTAGATACTTGACGCTCGACCACTAGGTGGTGTATTTCTTAGAGTCTCCCTCATATCATAGAAGTATAAGAAACAACACACTGCATCGAAATCCTCAGTGGAAGCCAAATACAAGTCCATGTCCTCAGCTTGCAAAGAACTCACTTGGTTGAGAGCTCTCTTACATTACTTGCATTTTTTTTGTCAATCATCTAGGCTTTGATATGCTGATAACATGAGCACCATTCGTAGTGCTTCTAATCTAGTGTTCCATGAGCACACAAATCATATAGAAGTTGATTGCCACTTCATTTGTGAAATTTTCTTGGATGGAGAAATCACACCCCCACCTCACCTCACATTAACAACTTGCATATATTTTTAATTAGGTAATGACTTTGGCTGGACATGACTATCTCATTGACTAACTGATGTTGTTCAACCAGCCTCAGTTTAAGGGGGAGTATAGGGATCATTGAAGATATATTTTGTGTATTATACCATAGATAGTAAGTGCGGTGTATGATATCATATATGGTAGGTCTATCCTATAATATTGTAGAAGGTGAGATTGTGTATTACACTTTATACTCCGTCTTGCTATGCAAATTATAAAGCCTATCTCCTCCTTGTTTCCTCTTTGAGTGTTTTGCATAGTACACACAAGTGGTGTAAAGCTGTGCTTTTGTAAACAATGTTACTTTTTTTTTTGGGTAAATTAATGAGGGAGAAGGCCCTCTACTCGTTTTCATTAATAAAAGGTAGGAAAAATTACACCATACTATTTTTACAACCCTACAATAGAGTAATTGCGCCACATCAGGAAATAAAGGAAGGTTAAGAAAATCGGGGGGCCTGGAGCGTCAAATAGTGGCCTCCGTAAAAACTATAGCCTTTTTAGCAAGAACATCGACCACCATTAGCCTCACGATAATCATGGCAAATGGACGATGGTTGATTCTCAAGTTTAAACTTGCAGTTAGCAGCTATGGTATGAAGAGCCCAAGGAGCTTTACACCTGCCCTGAATGACCTGGACAAGTAAAGAAGAATCACTCTCAATTTATAGGGGAAAGCGATCCATTTGAAAGGCTAAATCAACACCCTTGTAAGCCTCGAAATTATGCATAATTATTGGAATCAATTCCAAAAGGAACTGAAAAAGCAGCAAGACCCATCATCCTGTCTGATGACGCCTCCACAACCAGCTCGACCTGGATTCTGAATAGAAGACCCATCAACATTTAACTTAAAATGATATGACTGTGTAAAAGCTCATGCCACTGTTATGGGTTGCTTGCTCCTTTGATGCTGCCATGTAAGACATAAGTTCTCAGTAACTGCCTTTTCTAAGATATGGTAAGTCCATGCCTTAGCATTCGCCAGATCACGAGCATGACAAGCAATCCTTCGAATCAACTTCTCATGAGTGAGTGTTCTCCCTTGAAACATACGTTGGTTATGCTCCTCCCAAATCAACAGTTTGATTCCCCTCTATTGTATGAGAGAAGAGGTAGGAAGATGACGATGGAGGCTCAGCCAAGAGAACCATTTAGCCCTTAGATGACCATAATGCTCTGAAGATCAACTGAGAAGAATCCTTATGACGGATGAAATCCCATGCCTATTTAACAGAAAACATTCCATTTGAAGAGTGAATCTACACTAGAAAATCAGTTTGGGGTTTTAGAGGAATTGGAGGTTCTAAGTGTAGGGCCGGATGTGGGGGTGGGCTAATACCAAGATTGTAGAGAACCATTTAAGTAGTCTGCGACCCTAGGCTTGGCAAAACTTCCCATGTCCTTCCGAATATGGGAACCATAAGATTCCAAATTGCATTTCTCTGATAACCATGGATTTGCCCAAAAATCAATTGTCTTGCCATTTCCAATAATCCAGCGAACATTATGGCGCAAGAGAGACAACCTTGTTTGAATGCCCTTCCATGCATAGGAGCAGGATTTTCTGTCAACTTCGCAAATAAAAGACTTTCTGAAGTACCTGTGCCTAAAGAAACAAGTTATAAGAGAAGACGGGTTCGCCAGAATCCTCTATGCCAACTTCATAGAGGAGAAGGGTTCGCCTGCATTATTGAATTCAATAATATCACAAACTCCAAGTCCCCCCTCTTCCATTGGTAAACATACATTTCTCCACTTTACAAGGTGAACCCCTTTTTTATGAGCTATACCAGACCATAGAAATTTTCGTTGAAGCTGCTCTAACATACTGCATGTGCGCTTTGGTATTATAAATGATAGAACCCAAAAACTGGCTGAGGGACTTAGCACCGATTTCAACAATTATAACCGACCTAGAATGTTACTTTGCATTAGACAATATTTTCTTTGCTACATAGGACATGCAAAATCTTTTTTCTTTTATGTTTCTTTCTTTCTTGTTTACTGGAACCTTAAATGTAGCCCCTTAATTTGTATGGTCTATTTTTCTTATCATAATTGATAGAAGTTACTTTTAGTTTTCAAGCTGAATCATTAAGGACTCAACCATTGACAAGGACATCAATATTAGCACTCAAGTAGTGAGAAACATTGACAAGGACATCAATATTAGTACTCAAGTAGTGAGAAACATTGATGTAATTTATTAGCTTTTTGTTCTCTAGTAACTCAATTAGATGGATGTCTCCCACTTCACGTCTTTTACAATTCATTAGAGTGATTTGGCTTTAAGAGAAAGATGATTCATGCATGAGGGATACTAAATCTTCTCATGGCCTTGAGGATTGTCTACAAATAAAAGTATAGATTAACCAGTTATCGTATGGATTTACAGTTTGATAATCTAGTCATAAATTTAAATTTTATATTTACTGATATACAACTTGTTTTTGTGAGGGTCAATGTAACAATGTAATGAGGGGGACCACTGAAAGCATAATTTCAAAAACCACAAAGCTGGCACATATTTTTAAAAGTGACTTAATTACCATTTGACCTTTTAGGGATCCCAACATGTACTTCTCAAGATTCTTGTTATGCATTCACTCATTAAACCCATCTCTAGCCTCTTGGACATAATTCATTTCAAAATGCACACTTTTTATTTGTTAATATCCAAAATAAAAACTCACCCAGATATAGTTCTCTAAAAGTATGTTCTTTTTGAAAAGTGTTCACAGATTTCTCTAAAGTATGTTGACTGAATGAATTTACAGGCAACAAGAGATAGGAATAATTCCAAATCCCTGTCTATGTTCTTAACTTTTGATTCTTAAAAATAATTTTATAGATATCAGAGCCATCAAAATGTAAAGTGGTTGATCTAGTCTCAAATGCTTAGACCGTTTAACCAAAAAGTAAAGTGAAAAATGTAAGGTGAATGATTCGAGCTAGTCCAACCACTAACTATTTGGTCTCTTTAACATGGCTTGTACGTGATAAGGGTTTATATCCATAACTTAGCATATTATAACCGAATAGTGGTAATGGAAAATACCCCATCATTAATTGCTTTTACACGAACATTCATTGGAGTTCAGGCTTTCCCAGAAGAATCACATGTGATAAAATAGTCTATTAATTATCACTTTTTAAGTTGCTTTAATAAAACTTGTTTGGTTGTCATAAATCAATGGAAGATTTTCACTTTCACACTTGCATTATGAAACTCATGAAGTTGGAGATTGATATTTTGGTAGGAAATTGAATCGACCAATTCATCAACTGATGGAAGTACTCTCTTTGGAGGTATGAGAAGCATATGGAACACCATGTGGAATGGATTGAAAGATTTCTTCACTGGTAGATTATGCAGGTATATAGTACTGAAAGGAAGCTTCTTTATGTTTTTTCTATTAACAGAAAAGTTGTGTGCGATGCAGGGGGGGGGGGGAGAGAGAGAGAGAGAGAGAGAGGGCAGAGGGGAGAAATCTCTATATCGTACTTGCATGCAGCAGGTGATTTTACTCTAGGGCGTAAGAGAGACTGATTTTTTTTGGTTTTTTAGATTTTTGGTTATTGGTTGGTTGATTAGGAAGACTCTTAGTTGCACCCCTCTGTATTTTGTTGTAAAGGATGTCTTCCGGCTAATTATTATAATGCAAGTTCTCTCACTCTAGGTGTAAATGTGGTCTCATGTTGCTGTTACTATCATAGATTTGTAAGCACCTTAATCGGACTGTCTACGGGCTATTACCTGGCCCTTGGATGAACCTGTACCACATTCCTTGCAATCTGGCAATACAAGGCTTCTGTGTTAGGCTATCCATCATGACTCAGCAATTTTTCTTCTTCCTAGCGGAGAACTGGAGCTTGCATTTGCTAACTTGATTATATTCGTGTTTTCTGAGCAGGAAAAATTGCTCAGAGTTTTTTGACATTGCTTGCCACATTCAATATATTTGTGCTAGTTGGGTTGTGCTGTTTGGTTTGCTTCTCGCAATCTTCCCTATAGGTAATGCCCCCTTATTCCATACATGCTAATTGTTCTTGAGGAAATTCAATTGATTGTGACATGGCAACATCATTTTTGCATTGCAGTGGTCGTTCTCATTTGGTTATTACATCAAAAAGGATTTTTTGATCCCTTTTATGATTGGTGGGATGATATTGTCAGAGCACTGAAGCGCAAGAGTGGAATCTATCCAAGAAATGGAAAAGAAGTTAGCCGATATCACAGGCATGGCCACAAGAAGGATAATTACTATCGACATCAGACGCATAAAGGGAGACATCATCATGTTCAGAATAGAAATAAGCAGTATCACAAGCATAAACACAATTATTCTAATCACCCTGAGCATGCTAAATATTGGTATCCTGATCATTTGAACGATCATAATCATTATCATATGCATGATGATCATCGAGATCATGCTCATGGAAGTAGCTACAAGCATGAGAGAGAGAGGGTATTGCCTGAAAGGTTGCGAAAACATGGCTTGAGGATAGATGCTAGTGAAGGCCACCATAGGCAAGGGAAAGGAGGAACCATGACAGAGAAAAAACCAGAATATCAGATGCACTATGCGAAGAGAGAAGTTATCAAGGGTACACAGTTTGGGAGACAGCCTCAGAAAATTCGGAGAAATCAAGAAACTCCAGAGAAACATTTGAAGCACAAGCGTGGGCACAAAGAACACAATGATCAGCATCTCAAGATCCACCCTTGAAAATGCAAATGAAGGTAAGAACTCTCGATAGCCGTGACACTCCCCAGTACAAAATAGTGTGCCACGATTTTTATTCATGCATCTTTGCTAACATGTCATGGAACTGTCAACAAATACACCTATTATGTTCAGGTATTTATTGAAACATTTACAAAATCACTGAAATCAGAACCAAAATCTATGTTGTGGTAGATATAATGCTATACAGTTTTATTTTCCTTTTGCAATTTTCGAATTTGATATAAGTGCAGTCCTTTGTGATTTCTGTTGCAAAAACTTTCCTATGGAATCAGTCTCAACCGATGATGAATTTCTTGAAATCTTGGAGCAGTATCCTATTCCTCATTTCCTGTCTATTTCTTGAAGCACTCTCAGAACATAGGCTCCTAATAGGGAGCCTCTGTTGTGAATGGTTCTGGACCACTTGTACTAAGAGGTCAGGGAACTTATGATGCTGGTGTTATGATGAATTCGACTCTCATCCATTACACTTTATCCTCTAGCTGAATATGAAAACCATTTGGAAATTGCAAACCAGGTGTCCTGACTATGTCACCTCCCTTGATTGGCTTCCACCTGGTCCAGAGGTATTCAGAAAACGTATTTTAGTTACACCTATATTTAATGCCAGCACTTAGTGACAAACTCTCTCTCTCTGTGGCACACATACAAACACATGTTTAATACCTGTATCTAGTGACCAAACAATGAAGGAAGACTGCCATCTGTATCTTGGTGAAGTCCGTTCCAACACAGAACCTCAACCCACCACCAAATGCCATGAAATTCTTTGACCCACCATTTGATTCCACACCCTGTGTAAGAAAACCTATAAAGTCTTAATCCATGACAAAGTAAAAGAAGAAAGAAAATTTTGATACCACAAATCCAGCTTTAATAACACCCACCCCCCATCTCCATGGATTAAAGGCAAGAGGATTTGGGTACATTGAAGGATTCAAGTGTACAGCTGGAGGACAGGCCATAACTGCCCAGCCTGCTGGAATAGTATGTCCTGTTTGGAATTTCAATATATTTTTGGTTAGTGGGAATTCTCCAATTATTATATAGCATCAATAATCATATATTGCTTTAGCACTACATAGTTCACAGTTGGCTGCTCTTTTTTATGGGGCAATCGTCATTAGGCTAGGGTTTTATTGGTACCCACGTTGCGATTCAGACATACCTTTAAACTCAATTTCCTTCAACGCCTTTCTGAATATCCCTGGTACTATATTAGCCAGCCTCACTGTCTCATTGATGACCTGTGATTCCCATACATGACGCAGTCAGTTATACTGTAGTTTACCCAACTACTTGCCCCTCATACGTGTGTTCCCTATGTGTGCACTAGAGTGTGGAGCATTGTCGCAGTGAGTCTGAGTTGGACTCTTCGAGTCAGACACACATGAGTTTCTCATAATGGCACAGGCTACTGAGTTTGGAACCAAACTATGGGAACTGGTTGGACAAGTTTGGCCAGTTCCCAACAGTGTTGAAAAGATCGGCACGGCCGAATACTCGGCACAGGCCCGAGCCAATAGGGGTGGCGATGGACCCAAACTTGACGCGGAACCCAATTCGGGTTTGAGTATGGGTCCAAAAATTGGACCCAGCGGGTTGGGTCCAGGCTCCGAATATTGGACCTGAACACTAATCGGGTCCGGGTCCATGTGGACCTGACCTGGACCCGACCTGAATGGTGTATTATTTAAATAATATTTAAATAAATATAATCATATATTTGTACTTATAATATTTAAATAATAATGTATATATTTAACATGATATTTGAATATATTTAAATTTATATTTTTTTATTTTTGGGTTGGTTCCAATTGGGTCAGGGTCTAGCGGGACCTAGACCCAACTCAAAAATTTTATAATTTTTTTTTATTTTTATTTTTTTCTTTTTAAGATAGTTGGACCGCCCAACTCAAGCATACTCCAGCTCGCCAGGATGGTAAGTCCAAGTTACTGTCCGAGTTGGCTCGCCTGACCAATCAATCATTGGTTCCCGATATTTTATTATTTGTTTTGTTTGGACCTGTCTGAGTACAAATTTGGCCGAGTCTGCTAGACCTGACCCACTCAGGCTCGGGACCCTAGCGAATCCCAGCTCGAGTACTTGTTTTCTCTGACTGGTGTGGAATACCCCAATGGCCATCTACAAAAACAAATTTGGCCATCTACAAAAACAAATTGGAGAAAGCTATAGTTTGGCTCACCTGTGAGGTAAAGATCATGGATTTGTACTCTTTCCAGGTCAGCCCAGAACATTGGTTCTCCCTGTTACGACGAATTGCCTCATGCTCTTTCTGGTCAATGGTTATTTTCTTTACAAATCAGGTAATGTTTGGATAGAGAAAACAGAAATATATGGGGTGAAAAGTTTTAGGCCTATATGAACTCTAAAATTCTAATTACTCACCGTTAATTCTTCTAGTACTTTTGGGTGATCTGAGAGGAACTTTACAGCCAATGTCAAGGCCAAGGATGTTGTCTCAAAGCTTGCAAATAGCAGAACGAACATCAAGTCCAAGGCAATCTCTTCTGTTAGAACGGACCTTTCCTTCTTCAATTCTCCCAGTACATAATCAAAGAAGTCTCCATGGGCTTTCTCTGGTTCTCGACGTCTCTCCTCTAGCATTTTCTTTAACATTTTCATTGCTTTTTGTCGACCCTGTTGAAACCCAGAAAACTAGAGTTACCATCCTATGTAATTGCCCAAATAACCGACTGGTGATCCCAGATGCTAGAGCTCTCTTCTTTCTCTCTCTAGATCAATACCTGTAAACATTTGTGATAGGAAGTGCCAGGAATGTTTAGAGGAAATGAAATCAGGCCATCAACAAATGCTACGAAGTTTTTCTGCAGGTTCTCTGATGACTTGGTTGGATCATAACTGATCAACTTCTTTGCAGTCAGATTGAATATCATCTGTGAGGAGCCAACAAACACACAAAAAGTTAGAGAGAGAGTCCATGATCATGCTGAAAACAGTTCAGGAAGGAATTTAGAGACAAGGAGAATGTTAGAAATCGCTAGAAAGACTTTGTTAGATAAAGTAAGCAGGATTGCAGCAAATATTGAGAGAGAGAGAGAGAGGTCATGGATTTCTGGATTTTTACAGTGGCAGTGGCTTCTTTCAAATCGATACTCGATTGGGTTGCCCATGTTTGGAGATTTCTCGATGCGGCCAGTTCAAGTTCAGGCAGGAGTTTCTCTTTAAGACTCTCAGGACCAAAGAGATTCAAAACCAAGCTCTTCAGATACTTGTACATAAATCCATGGAGTGATCCCACATTTTGGCGTCCAAATATCTCTGTAAAAGTATCTGGATACCAACTTTGGAAGAGCTTGCCTTCTTGTTGAAAGATTAAATGGTTGAGTTCAGGGTCTGTAGAGACTATTACAGGCCTACTCACCAAGCTGGTCCTGAATACTGGGCCATACCTGTGAAAGGTACTACAAATGTAAGTACATGAGTAAAGAACGCTTTAGAGAGAGAGAACTGAGACAAAAGTAGAGGTTCTAGAGAGAGAAATTACTACAAAGTCTTTGATAAAGGTGGTTCTAGAGAGAGAAAGTCAAAGTGATAGCTTTCTGTCCTGTTTAGCATTTACCTATTCATTCTTTGCCTGATGAATGGGGGGATATCTGAGGTAGTGTTAGGAGAGAAGAATTGGAGGGTCTCTCCAATGAGGGGAAAACCCATTGAACCTGGTGGTAGTTTCCCATTGCATTTTGGGTTTCTCCATCTGTAAACCCAATAAGTGACCCATATGGCAACCAGGGTGGCAATGCAAAGGGAAAGAGGCCACATTTCTTTATTAAATACAAGAATGTGATAGGGATGCAGAAAAAGAGTCAGAGCCTTTAGGCCTGGTGATGAGAGAGAGAGAGAGAGTGATTTCAAGCTGTGATGGGAAACAGCTAGAGAGAGAGCTTATAGAAAGAGAGATAACTAGAGAGAGGGAGAGAGAGCTGAGTGGGGGGTGTTTTAGGCCTGGTGCATGGAGGAAGCACAAAAAGAGGCTTCCATATACCCATTAAAGAAGCATGAGAGTAAGTGTTATATAGATATCATGGGTTGCCTCTAGAGAGATGTAGTTATCATGGGTTAGCTCTAGAGAGAGAAAATATGAGTTTCTCTCTCATTTAGTTAGTGGTTGTTAATGGGGCACTGTGGAGGAGGTAGTTGAGATAAGAATAGAAGATTGGAGGATAATTTTGCCCAGACCAGGCAGCCATTTAGTCAACTGGGCTTATAAAAATTAGGGTTGCCTAATTGTTTAGGTAGCAAAAGCCCACCATGACCAAGCATGAAGCCTACACGATGCTTCTCGATTCCTTTCATTGTTAGCCAGCTTGTTGGCATTGCAGCTCTGGAACAAAGTGATCCACTAGTCTTTGTTGCACCTGGCCTAGGACACTCTCACACGTCCCATTGATTTCTTAATTCTATGCTTGTCTCTCTCTCTTCTCTCTCTATGTCTCTCTCTCCTAAACTCCTCGGGTTGTGTTTTTCCTACTTGGCTTTATGCCAAGTTCAGTACGCCGGGAATCAGAACCCGGAACAGACTAGACTCAACCAATACGAAGGTTCTCTCTCTAAATACATGCATATAGAGAGTGGTTTTTATAAATGTATGTATGGATGTATAGAGAGGGGAACTTAATATCATGATTCTCAAACATCCATGCAAGTCAGACTTTGTGTGTCTGTCATTTCTCTCTATATGTATCTATTGCTCTAGAGAGATGCTAAAACATTCATGCAAACCATACTTTGTGCCATTTTTCTCTTTCTGATCTCTTGCTCCAGAGAGAGAGAGAATTAAACCAACATGATCTACTAGGCCATCCATGCAAACCTTACCATCCCTCTGTGTGTGTATGGGTTTGTTTGCTCTTTGGTGTAGGATAGTAGTTTTGTGTGCGTGTGATTTTTATTTGTTCTGCAGTTAGCATGGTACAGTCTCTCTCTCTATAGATGAACCAAAAGATACACAAGTAGGAAATGGTGGTTATTTTTTAAGTGCGGCTACCTATCCTAGATTTGATAAAAAAGAGGTTCAGAGGATCTTGGACCTCTTGCCAGATGGGAGATCTAAAATTTATTGTAAAATATAAGGATTAGTGGTCTTCACCAACTTCTTGGATCTTTTGAAGATCTATGCTAAATACTCTAGTATCTATACAAGATACCCAGAAAATAGAGAGAAACAGTTTCAAAACAAAAGAAGATAGATAGTTGGAGAGAGAGAGAGATGGTGTGAAACATATGCCCTAGGAGTGGGATAATGACCCTTGAAAACTATCAATAATAGTAGAGATTCAATCCTTACGAGGAAGCTACTTAAGTCTTTAGGGTTATATCAAGGGTTAAGAAAGAATGTAGCAATGGGCCATGGTTGCTTTTTCATAGCTCAGTAAGAGTGCACAGACATGAGGAAAGGAATTTTTAGAAGCTGCCATTTTGTTCCCTGGACATGCTCCTTGAGATTTGTCTAATTCTAGATATTAGTCTATTGGATTAGTATCTTGATCCAGGCACCTCTACATGGATGCACTTACACACGTGTGTGGGCCGGAGAGAGAGAGAGAGTCATTTTCCTAACATATGCTGGTAAATTCATGCCATCTTAGGGATGCTATGATATTCATGTGTTTTAGGTCAGAAGCTGGCTCTGACTCACAAGTCCGAGTTGGATCGGACATGTTTTTGTGAGAAATATTCAAACGTTGTGGAAAAAACGGGAGTGATTTCTTTATTCTTCGGCCCCAATTTGCCTGGCTTCCCATTGGGGCTGACTCGAGCGAGTCCTAATCAGCCTGTAGATTTTTTAAAAACTCATATATATTGTTGTGTATCTAATTTGATAGTACTTGCACATCAAACACCCCCATAGAGAGAGTGAGTGTTAGAGAGCACTATACTTTCTGACTTCATCCCAGAAGATGCTCTAGACTATGGTCGATGTTCTTACAAAAATCTTGTTCTCCCTTATGTTACTCGCGCCTAGAAAATAAAAGCATCCAATTCCTTAAAGGGCTTAGACAAGGGACCCTATGTAGGGTTCATAAGTGACTATTGCAACTTAATGCTCCTTTTTGGGCCCCTTTTGTGCTCCCTTTAGGGAGGAGGTGTCCCTTAGAGTTCAAAGAGCAACTCTTGGTTGAACTTTAGAATTTAATTGTGTATCTTTCTGGGATATGGTATTTTGGTGATGTGTAAGATGACCAACACCTAAGTTCTAGGGTTTTTGCCTCAATATATATATATATATATATATAGCCACTAGTTTTGCCTCATCTAGCATATACTCTAATTCTCTCTCTAACCACTACATTGAAATATTGTGCTTTTTATCTGATAAGGAACTCTGAACTGCTACTGCTAATGCCAATGCCCCTGCATGCTCCAAGCAATAGGATGGCAACCACCAACACTTTATAGCTCCTTTAAGGTGCCCTAATCCTTTTTGCACACATAATGTGCTGGCCATCAATTTACTTAAGATCTCAAGGGATTTAAGCCATTAATTAAATGGAACCAATGGCCAATAAGGTGACAATCCCAAGGGGTTGCACTAGTTTAAAGAAGCCAATTAATGAGTGCAAAGTCTACTCCTGCGGGAGCAAGCTGTATAGTTACTTCCTCATGTAAACCCAGTACATTTAAATTGTTGGGTCCACTTTCATCAACAAATATTTTAAAAAAATATAAAAATTGGGTACTAAGTTCCTAAATAATTATAGTTTACCAGTCCAAAAATTAGAAGACCTTTGTGTAATCTTTGAGACAATCTAAAAATTTGATGATCTATGTTCAATTTTAGAACTATCTTTTTTATACACAGATAGTATTTTTTTTTCCAGTTTTAGAGCGGTCGCTAGGTAGAGAAGTTTACATCCTAAATTTTCGGGTCCACTTTCATCAATAAATGTTTTAAAAAATAAAAGGTTGGGTACTAAGTTGCTAAATAATTAGATTTGACCAGTCCAAAAGATAGTTTTAAGATTGAACAAAGACCATCAAAATTTTAAATTGTCCCAAGATTAATCAAAGGTCTTCTAAAATGAGACAATTTAAAATTTTGATGATCTCTATTCAATCTTAGAACTATCTTTTTCATGCATATTATTTTTTTTTGCTACTTTTTTTTTTTCTTTCTTTTTTTCCCAATTTGAGGAGAGAAGGTTACATTCTAAAATTTAGAGTTGTTAGCGGACTATACGAATGGATGATGCTCCCTCGGGAGCATACGATCTTTGGCATTAGTAAAGTTCCCAACTCCTGGTTGAAACTCCCATCCCACCATTTCAGGTCCTCTGTAATGGCAACCGTGACAAGTGTATTGGTAACCTAAAACTTATTTCTTGGAAACTATGGTCCCAAAATTTCAATGAATTTCGATTGAAATTTTCGTTTTGGCAAACACAAGGTACTTTATGGTGATGTCATATTGTGGGTGAAACACTCCTGGCTTAACTTGCTGCTTTTGTCCAAGGGAAAGAGCATCAATCGACAATTTCCCATTGAAATTTTATAAATTAATAGCATCCGGCATTGTCTAAGAAGAGAAACCTAATACTATAATATTAGAGCAAATCGTGTGATTATGTTATGCTTTTAGCCATATAGAGGCCCCTTAAACATATTAAGTATCCATTAGGGACCCACCTTTATGTCGGGCTTATAAAATTACGACACTTGTTCCTGCATATTATTGGTAGGGGTGGCTGATAAGTCAAGCAGACCTAGGTCTGGGATTGAACCCATCAGGTCCGGTTCCACTCAAGACATTATCAAGTTAGGTTTGGGGTCAACTCACTAGCTAGGTCGGGTCTGGTAGGAGTCTAATCATTTGGACCCGACTTAGGTTCGGGTGTGAGTGGAGCCCAGTGGGGCCGGGTCCGGTTTGAACTTGACCCGACATTTACTTGGATTGGATGGTTGAGATCAACATGAAGTTGATGGTTTCATGCAAATTGAAACCATCATCCTTGGAAAAACAGTCCATTGTTAAACTGAATAAGCTCAGATTAAATGTAGATCCTTTCGTCCCCATTGATTTGGTTCCTATAGTGGATAGTTGATTTTAATTTCATAAAATCAATTAAAAAGGAAAATATCTAATAAATAAAGAGAAAAATATACAATGCGACCATTTATCTTTAGTATAAGGTGGTCACAATTAATGTTGACCACTGGATGTGAGATTAGATGGTTGCATTTATTCCATTGACCAAGCTCAAATTTCAAAAGAAATTTTTCTGAACTTTGTGACACACCTATGCTATCAGATTTTATATATGATGGTTGTAAGTAATTGTGATATCTTTGTATCAAAGGTAAATAGTATTTTTGTATACAATCCCGAAACAATTACAAATGATAGCCAAGCAAGAAACATAAAAAATAGAGGTTAAAGGTGGAAAAAATTTATAGAAGGTTGAAACCTTAAAATATAAAATTAAGGTGTACATCTAAAATCCTTGTGAAAGGTTGTTTTGATGTTGAAAAATACCTAATTGAGCATCTTGACTTCTATAGTCGAGAGAAAAGAGATTTCAAGATTTCATAAATTTATAGATCTGCTTGATTGGAACCGTGGTTAGAATTTAAAATTTCATAAAAAGAAATAAAAATAGATTTTCGCACTAACATAAGAATTTTTGACACCAAAATTGTATATCTCATGACAAAGTTTGAAGGTGCACCTTACTTTGATTGTTTAAGGTTGTAACTTATACAAACCACACCCTGAAAAGAAAACCAAATATTGAGAGAGAGAGAGAGAGAGAGAGAGAGAGAGAGAGAAGTAA